TTAGTTACATGGCTGATTGTAAATCTTTTTAGGACAGACTTGATAAACAGATTTTCCCTTTATTTCATATTACAGACCGATTACATTTGAATCATGTTGGAATTCAGAAATTTGTAAATTTATAGTCAATACATTGGCTCATTTGAATTGAGAGGACACTCTTTGCGAGTAAGGCTACGTTAAATTCTAATCTCTTTTTATACAGGGGGAGTTTTGTAGCAGATTTCTCTTTTTATTTTTCAGAAGACCGTTAAACAAGCAACAATTGACTTAACGAAATTACTCAATTCTATAATCAGACGAGTTTCAATAAAGAACCAACCAGAAACAGGGCACTCCTAGATCCACTTTTGATCTTAAATATTGATATATGTTTTATACCAGAAATCATCCTATTCAACTGTTAAGTGATCACGATGCAACACGTGTACACCTTAAAATAACTTTTCTTGATAAAAAGACCTACACTAGAAATGTATGGTTATATAAAAATGCAGATTTCATAACATTAAACGAACAAAATAATAATTACGATTGGAAAGCACTTATGAATTCCGCTACAAAAGTAGATAACTGTCTGCATATTTTACACACAAATATCTAGAGATGGAACAGCAACATACGCCATCCAAGAAGGTTCTTGACCAAATCTTGATTTCATTCACTAATCAGAAATGAAATCAGACTCCTGAATTGTCTTTACTAAACGTCGATGAAAAACAAAACGCACTATGAACTTAACAAGTACCTCGTGGATAGTTGTCTCATTTGCGACCCCCCCCCCCCCCCCCCCCCCCCCAAATTGAAAAATGGTCACTTTAATCATCTTCCGGTCATCAGTAAAACCAACCCTCGCCAAAGTACAATGTCCGTTTGGCTGTACGGGATGTAAACGTACGCAGTCACGTTCGGTCAGAATTGGGACGTTAAATCCGATGCATCGTGTAAAGAGAGTGACATACTCTCTGCACGTTAAGATCATTTGCAACAACTCTTTTGAGTTGTCCGTAGGTGACATGTTGCACGGCTAAATTTCAGTCCTTATCCAATTTGCCCGAATTTTCCAACAGCAATAGACTTAACGAAATTACTCAATTCTTTAATAAGACCAATTTCAATAAAGAGCCAACTAGAAAGAGGGCACTAATAGATCCACTTTTGATCTTAAATACTGATATCTGTAATAATGCAGAAATCATCCTATTCAAAAGGTAAGTGATCACGATGCAACACGTGTACACCTCAAAATAACTTTTCTTGACAAAAAGATCTACACTAGAAATGTATGGTTATATGCAGATTTCATATCATTAAACGAACAAAATAATAATTACGATTAGAAAGAACTTATGAATTCCGCTAAAGAAGTAGATGACATGTCTGCAAAATTTACACACAAATATCTTGAGATTGTATGGAAACATACGCCATCCAAGACGGTTCTTGAACAAATTTTGATTTCATTCACTAATCAGAAATGAAATCAGAATCCGGAATCGTCTTTGTTAAACGTCGATGAAAAACAAAACCGACTACGATCTTAGCAAGTACCTCGTGGATAGTTGTCTCATTTGAGATCCCCAAATAGAAATATGGTAAGTTTGGTCTTCTTCCAACCGGAAGTAAAACCAACCTTCGGCAGAGTGGGGCGTCCGTTTGGCTGTGTGGGATGTACAAGTACGCAGACACGTCCGGTCAGAATGAGGACGTTAAATCCGATGCCTCGTGTAAGAGGGTGCCACGCTCTTTGCATGTTAAGATTCCTTGCAACATCTCTTTGAGGTGTCCGTAGGTGGCTTGTCTCAATGCAAAATTCTGTCCTTGTCCAATATACCCTATTTTGCCAGTGGTAGTTCAAATTTATCCGACCTTCATCCGGAACGGCATCTTTTACAGGACCTACTTATTGTATATATTGTTCATTTGTTCTCGTCCTGAACAACCATATGAAATATTTGCAACTGGACGTTATTAACCAACAATCAACAATTCTCATTTGCAATCATTCCACATCTCCTTATTTTATGTAGATAACATTAATACCCTCGCGAGCAGTTTTGTTTTCTAAAATGCCAACATACATGTCAGTTCGATATCCAAAAAACTGATTCAAACCGATTCAAATGCTTATTGGTTAAAAAAATTATAAAAAAAAGGAATAATATATAGTATACAACCTCTCTTGATTGGAACTTGGTATAATAAACCTCATCATAGATATATTATAAAAAAGAAAATCTTTTCAACCAAATATTTTTTCAATTTCATTTGCTCACGATTCAAATCTTGATGCACCATATGTAAACCCCAGAACTAATTTGATCATGTCTGACCTGACAATAAGTGAACAAGATATAAAAAGATGAATTTAATACTTAAAGGCACCACGAATACTGTTTAAACACCTCTACTAATTTTATTTAATAAGTTCTTTCAAGCTAGCAAGTTTCTAACACAGTTTTAACTTGCTAGAGTTATGGCTTCCTTCAAAACAAGAGGTCATAGGCAGGTTATGAAACGGGTAGTTCAATAATAAACATATTAATAATTATAAATAAGAGCTCTCTTCATTATTTGAATACCAGTTTGGGTTTTTAAAAGGGCATTCCACTGTTTTCCAACTCTATGAAAATTATCATAAGAAATATTAAAACGGAGATAAATGATTTTCAACTATTACAATGTTTGCGATACATTCAAAGCCTTTGATAAAGGCCTTACACAAACACTGATTTCGTATGGAATATCTGGTAATCTCTATTGAACTGGGTTAAAGACGTCATCAGCAACAGACAACACGTTGTTTTTATAAACAATGAAACTTCAAATCCAGGCGAAATCAAGACAGGAGTTCAGCAGGGCTCTGTTTTGTGTCCTTTTCTATTTTTTATTAGATAGAAGAATCATTTAGTAAGGAAATGAGTGTCTTTGTAAGGTATAAAGTTACATAGAAATATTTTTAATTATTTTTTATTAAAAGATGGGTAAGCTATTCAAAATGGCGACTTAACGAAATGTAGATCCCTTTAGGATATTTCAGTATACGGATATGGATAGTAAACTGCACATTGCAAGAAAACAAAGAAATATTTATGCCAACGTTAAAAACGTTAATAATGTAATGTAATGTTTATTGGTCGTTATAGTAACATACAAGAAGAATCTTGTTGTATCTATATGTGTTTCACGCAGAAGGAAGCGTTGTGTCGATTTAGACGTTTGGTGGGAAAGTCAGTGGTTGGGTCAAAGGGTATGGGGGTGTTTGAGAGGGATTCTTGTGTTCAGTATCGGGAACATTTAGAGAACACCCCTATCCAGTAAATAGTGTATTCGCCCTGGAGTATATAAGTGGGTGAGGAATACATTTCGGGTTCTATTGCCGACCGTGCAAGGGCTGTATAGCCAGTCAAGGTCGTTAAAAACTTCCATTTGTTGTTTTCGGGTTCTACTGTATAGCCAGTCAAGGTCGTTAAAAACTCCCATCATCATTTCGGGTTCTGTCGATATTCTTGTTAAGAAGACCAGTGTACAAGAGTAAGCACGTTACATAGCTGTAAGTGATATAGTCGAGCACAACTTGTACTGGGTACAAGTTGGTCTAACATAGGAAGTTGGCAGAGCAGACTGTCCCATACGGAAGACGGACTGCAACAACCCGCACTGTCTGATAGTGATAGACTGTCCCACTCGGAGGACACACTGTCTGAAAGAGACAAACTGTACCAGCCACACTGTCTTGAAGTGACAGACCGTCCCACTCGGAGGACAGGCTGTAAGATTGTATAATACTTGTATATATTAGAGTTCATCGTTACTTTATATCGGCAAAGAGCCCGTGCGTATATTTTAGTTCATTGTGCATAACATAGATAGTTGTAGTTTTTAGCATTGCCGTATTGTTTGTGGGCAACTTGGATCCAAGTATTTACTGGAACGTTCGTTTAAGATATAAACGCCTGGTTACACGTTACAGTAATACAAATAGACTGAAAATACGAAAAAAGATTTGAAAAACATTGATAAACAAAATTTTAGTCTGCTAACCGAGTCCCTGTGTTCATTACCTCCTAGAAAGTCGATTATATTACTTTCAAAGATAGAATAGAGAATGGAAACGGGGAATATGTCAAAGAGACAACAACCCGACCAAAGAGCAGAAAAAAGCCAAAGACCACCAATGGGTCTTCAACGCAGGGAGAAAATCCCGCACCCGGAGGCGGGCTTCAGGTGGCCCCATAAACAATAATATATACTAATTCGGCAAAATGGACGCCACATTAAACTCAGAAACATACAAATGAACCAAAATAAAAAAAAACACGGAAGACTAACTAAGCTAGAGGTTCCTGATTTGTGACAGGCGCAAAATGAACAATTAACACGAATATACAAATTGACAATGAAACACGATAAAGTACATGGTTTCGTTACATTAAAAAAATTCAATTTGCTGCTTATTTTTTTCTCTATGTTTATTTGTATTTGTTTTTGTTTTGTTTTTTTTTATAAAAAGAAATTCTTTCTCTTTCTCTTGAGCCAATCTGTGACGCTTTTCTGTGCTCACTACATTAACCAAAGTTTGTTGTGTATGTTGAGTATTAAAGAAATAGTTGGGATAACTTGTGACCAATCCTATTGTTTAATTATTACAATAAAAGAATATTAAACTAATTAAATTTGAATACGAAGAAACGACAAAATTCTACAAAATGGCACTCAATGAACCAGTAGCCTACTCTATCAACTGTATACAACATAGCTTAACGGATTGAGGTCATCGATAAAACGAATGATTCGCTTGAAATTTGATGTTATTTAAGTAAACCGAGTTTACAGTTTGTACTTATGTTGTGCTGTTACACCATTGTCCGAGGTGAGAGTGAGGGGCGCTCACAAATATATTTAACCCCTCCACATTCTGTATGTGTTTGTCCCAAGTCAGGAGCCTGTAATTCAGTGGTTGTCGTTCTTTCATGTCTGCCATATACATTTTTCGTAAATTGTATTTATTCACTCTTTATAAATTTAACCCTGATACTATGAGAAGTATAAACAGTTATATCATTGTGCATTCTAGTTATTTGAATAGGATGACTTAATGTATTCAATGGCATTGTAGAGTCTGAAGTACTATAACCTAATGAATGTTCTTGAGAATCTTGACTGGTTTCTGTGTTCACCAATTTGAACTGGTACGCAAGAGTATAACAGGGTATCAGCTGTGCTCACTGAAGTTGCTGGAAAAGTATTTGCACTCGTATATAACCCTGTCTGTGTATATATTGGGTAAATGATGGCTGAATTGGTAGTCGATATAAGGTACAGGTACTGATATAGCAGATGGTACCCTTTAAATAACCTTCTTTCTCGTAGAAGCTGTGGCCACGATTGGTGTATTCTTCCTCTTTCTCGTTGACCGCCTGAGCTGAGCAAACATGACTCCTAAAATATACGCAGATTATAGGAACAGAATATAAAGAATAATAATTGATATAATTTTCGTAATACTTACGAACTACAAGAACCTGTTACATGCTTGTCACTAAAATTAACGAACATTATTAAGGATATACATACTAGTTATGATTGATTGTTGGTTGCCAGAGCCAAATATAGCTGTCAGTAACTGCGAGTATTCTCAGATCTGTACTTAGTGTCCTTTTTGTTGTTAGGGATGAGGAATGGATAAATAACCTGCCACGTCCGGTCTGTGTTTATGTTTAATTTTTTCTGCTTTGTATCGATCTGATGAGTGAATAGATATAAGAAGATGTGGTATGAGTGCCAATGAGACAACTCTTCATCCATTTCAAAATTTATAAAAGTAAACCATTATAGGTCAAAGTACGGTCTTCAACATGGAGCCTTAGCTCACACCGAACAGCAAGCTATAAAGGGCCCCAAAAATTACTAGTGTAAAACCATTCAAACGGGAAAACCAACGGTCTAATCTATATAAAAAACGAGAAACGAGAAACACTTATGAACCACATCAACAAACGACAACTACTGAACATCAGATTCCTGACTTAGGACAAGTGCAAACAAATGCAGCGGGTTTAAACGTTTTAATGGTACCAAACCTTCACCCTTTTTCTGAAACAATAGTGTAACATCACAACATAGAAAGACACTATAAAATATCAACTGAAATAGCTTAACTCAATCAACGGAAATATTAACACCAGTGAACATACACTGAACAAATAAATTTGACCTATGATACAATGTTAATACAAAATAAATAAACTAAGGGAAGAATAATAAAAGTAACTTGTTATACTGCTATGAAATGTTAAACAATTTAAGAAAAACAATATGCTCGAACAAAAATATCAGCCATTTGCAATAACTTTAAACACAGGTAAATGAAAATAATTTTGTTGTTAGGTATACGTGTACAGTTCAAATAGAGAAAGGAAATATTATAACAAAATAAATAATTTTGATGTTCATAGTACGAAGTGAAAAATTATAGTAATACCAAACACTTATAAAAGCTGGTATATAGACCAGATGCCTATTTCAACTGATTTTTATAGTTTGTTCTTATGTTATGATGTTACACCACTGTCCCATGTTATGGGGAGGGTTGAGCGCTCACAAACATGTTTAATCCCGCAACATTCTTTAAGTGCCTGTTCCAAGTCAGGAGCCTGGAGTTCAGTGGTTGTCATTGGTTCATGTCTGTCATATTTGTTTTTCGTTAATTGTTTAGTTATAAAAGAGGGATGAAAGATACCAGAGGGACAGTCAAACTCATAGATCGTAAACAAACTGACAACGTCATGGCCAAAAATAAAAAGACAAACAGACAAATAATAGTACAGATGACACAACATAGAAAACTAAAGACTAAGCAACACGAACCCCACCAAAAACTGGGGGTGATCTCAGGTGCTCCGGAAGGGTAAGCAGATCCTGCTCCACATGTGGCACCAGTCGTGTTGCTTATGTTATTACAAATCCGGTAAATAGTCTAATTCGGTAAGTCACATTCGTGAAAAGGGAAGGGTATTGTAGTTACAACATAAGGAACATATCCGATATCATCTGTGAAACGGTTATTCCATAACGGTCAACCAACTCGTGATGGCGTCCGTAAAATTTACGAAGGGATGACTTCAACTTCACCATTTGGAACTTTTGGTTTAATAGCTTCCTTGTGAGCAGCAATCCTCTATCAAGGAAATCATGATAGGAAACACAAGCCCGGGAATATCGTATCAATTGGGAGATATATACTCCGTATGCAGGCGCTGCTGGAATGTTGCTACATAGAAATGGAAAGTTCACAATTGGGAAGCTGAAATCATCTCTTTTGTCGTAAAGTTTTGTTTTCAACCGACCCTCTTTGTCAATTTCTAGATGTAAGTCAAGATATGAGGCAGACTTAACTGTATCTGTAGTATCCTTTATCTCTAGTTCGATGGGATAGATTCGTTCAACATAGTCACCAAATTTTGTATTATTTAGTGAGAGAACATCATCTATATAGCGGAAATTAGGCCGTCAGTTTTCTCAATTGAATTGTTTCATTTTTTCATGTCGGGGCCTTTTATATCCGACTATACGGTATGGTTTTTTCTCATTGTTGAAGGCCGTACGATTGTCTATAGTTGCTTACATCCACTTTATTTTATTATTGTTGGATAGTTGTCTCATTGGCCATCATATCTCATCTCCTTATTTTTATATGCATAAAATAAAGTCATGTTACAAATAAATGTCAAATGCAAAATTAAATAACTAATAATCCAATTCTACCTATTCATAATTTTGATGTTGAACAAAGTATAAACCATCTTTAAATTATGTATACAATTTAATTCAGAATCATAAGTATCAACAAAAAGTTTAAATTGTCCTCAATTAAATTAAAATAAATATAATATAATCAATATTAAGGCTGTGACCGGATTCTTATTTAAAAATTTATAATAATAATGTTGTATGCAATGCACACAAACTCTACTCCATCCTTACTCAAAGACACCCATATTGGATGGATAAAATTGCATGTGATAGATCTATATTGTAAATGTAGAACCTTGTTCAAGACACAAATTATGCAAACCATAGTCACAGAAACTATGCCGTATTGTTAAATGTCGGCATATTTTCGCAGTGGTCTGTTCTGTGATTCATATAGGTGTTTAATGTCATTATGATTTTGTAACAAATATGTACACATATTAAACAATTAAGATATTAAAATAGAAAAATATAAATCTAAAATGAATACCGTATTTTACAGTCATTCGATTCTATTTTGTTGTTGTTGAAAAACATAAACATGTGAAATCAAAGGCAAAAATTTTTGGAGAAAAATTGGAGAGAAACTATACATGTATTATGCATACCCAAGTGACTCTCTGATTCCTGGATATTTCTTGTGTCTAGGTGACGCTAAGTCTAAATGAATTTCAATCATGCAAAACGTTTTCAGCTTATGTATTAATTGTACGTACTATAAAATCTTGAAAGTTGATTGTTTTTATTCAGTACTAAACAGAAATTGGAAACGGATTTTGTTGCTTCTGCCAAAGATATGTTTTGATGTGGATAACATTCTTAACTTCAATTAAATCGGATTGATTGTTTTCTAAAACTATGCCATCAGGACTGGCAACCAAAATTTTGTGAGAAGGATGTATGATAAGTCCACATTGTTCAACTAGATAGATAAATTTTGCTTTAACATGTACTGAATGTATTCCAAAATATTTACTATTTCTTGACTCAGTCCAAAACGTGTTGCTTTATTCACAGCTAATGCACAATAAAGAAGAGAAGAAATGAGTTTAACGACAGGTAACCTAGGATTCATCTTAACAATGCGGCCAAAATTTGAGGAGGGTTAAACATTTTCTACGCTGTTCTGTCGACTTTCCGGAAATACTATGAGGTATTGTGTCAATTTCAGATGGTGTTATCTATTTCTGTTTTATTATATTGCTACATGTTGGTTTCTATGTTTTTCTCTGTCTGTATACATTCTTTCTCATACTGTTTTTGTTTGTCTTTACGTGATGTTGCTTCCTTTGCTGCCTTCATTTTTCGCTTCCATCTATTTTGTTTTATTTCTCGTTTGAATTTAGAGGTATTGTTGACATTTATATTTCTCTCTCCTTCTTCAAATAATGACCACTGGTGGACTGGATACTAGTTTCCCATACTTTTAGTGACCATAATGGACCTACATTATTCCAAAGAGCTGCACCATAGCATCTAGTGTGCCATGAACCTTTCTTTCAGTGGTTGTACATTTTATCCCCATCAAGTTTTGTCTGCATGTGCATTCAAGATTCGGCTAAGTTGCTGGTGAAATTTCCAATAAGGTTGGATGACTTTTTGGGAATATAGTTTAGCAGGATGGATATGCCTTGGCGCATTTCTGTATCTTTATATGATGGGATAAATGTGACAAAAGTCTTGTTTCTTCCTGTTCTTCAACTTTTGCCTCCTCTGTCCACATATCAGTCTGTTGTTCAAATAAACATTTCTGATTTTAAAGTTTTGTAGTTTTCTTCATAAATTTTCAAAGACGGTATATTTTCATTGGCGGGTGTTTATGCCTTACAAAAATCGGAGCAGCTCGAATGATCTCCACATATCTGTCTGATTCTTGTTATCTCATTCTGATCGTGCAACGAACAGCACTAGTAATTTTTATTCTTGCAAAGTCTCCCTTTTCCCTTGTAAGCTGGATTATCAACGACAAGTTTTTCAAGGTAAATCTTAAGCATTAGCAGGCGTGGTTAACACATTCATCACCAATTATCTCTATGTATCTAACGTCGTGATCGTTGGCTTTAAGGATGTCTTCAACAATTATATCAGATTCCATTGCCTGATTCGTCTCATTCCATTTCTTATAACATATGTGGTGTGACGGTTCAAAGCCTAATGTAGCTTTTGTTTCTGATGTTATATTATTATTTTTTTTTTGGTTTCGGCGCCGACGATTACAGCAACACCTAATGCATTATATGTGTTTTTGTGTTATTTACTCCTTCTGCATCAAAAAGACCCTTATACTTGGCAAATCTGTCAACCAAATAACAATTTATTACTTACCATTTTAGGGTAAAGAAAACTAAAGGCTAATTATGAACCACACCAATATGATTTGTAGTTCTTTGGATTATCCAGCTTTGATTTTGAAACGAAAATATTTGCGCAAACTGAAATGTCTTGCCTGCTTTTATGATCATTAGTTAAACTAAAAACATAAATGCTTTACTATACACAAGATAATCATAAGTATACCTTTTTTCATATAAATGTGTGGTTCTAAAAAATTACTTTTTTGTGTTTTCATTTGTGACATTTCGTTGTCGTCTTCAATTTCTGGTTCATGCTTTCTTTTGATATTAATTGCAGACATGTCCTGTTAGAATGGTGATGTGCATAGTGTTGAGGGACTGACACACACAGTT